AAGCCAAATTCTTTGATGCTTTTATTTATTTATTTATTTTTTTTATTTTGGCATATTATGGGGGTACAGATTTTAAGGTTTCAATAAATGCCCATTTCCCCCCTCCCCCCAAAAGTCTGAGTCTCCATCATGACCATCCCCCTCTTTGATGCTTTTAGTAATGATACACATACTAATCTATTTTATTTTTTGGATAATCCATATTTATTGAGATAATTTACACATAGTTAAATTTGCCCTTTACAGATCTGAGTTTTAACAACCACACAGTCAAGTAACCATCACTACAATCAAGATACAGAACAATTTCTCACCTAAAAAAGTTCCTTCAAGTCCTTTCATAGTCACCCTTCCTCACCCCTAGACCCGGGCAAACACTGATCAGTTTTTTTTTTTTGTCTCCATTATCTTTTTATTTTTCTTTTTTCTTTTTTTTTTTTTTGAGACAGAATCTCAGCAACCTCAAATTCCTAGGCTCAAATGATCCTCCTGCCTCAGCGTCCTGAGTAGCTGGGACTACAGGTACTCACTACCGTGCCCAGCTAATTTTTTGTTTCTATTTTTAGTTGGCCAGGTAATTTTTTCTATTTTTAGTAGAGATGGAGTCTCACTCTTGCTCAGGCTGGTCTCAAACTCCTGACCTCAAGCGATCCTCCTAGCTTGGCCTCCCGAGTGCTAGGATTATAGGAATAAGCCACCATGCCTGGCCTGTCCAATTATCTTTTTAAACTTAAGCATAGTCTTATGAATTTATGACTTTTGTTCATAGATGCCTGGCAAAGCCCTATAAAAATAAAACTTTCTTGAAAAATATGATGTCTGAAATATTAGAACCATTCAAAAAGTATTTAATGACCTTGTAAAAGAAGAAAAATCATCCATTACAATCATTGTTAGGCATTAGATACAGGTCTCCAAACAGGGTTTATAATTTTTCTCTAAGAAAGACTTTTCATCAAATAATTGGCTTGGACAAAATAAGCATGATGTTTAATATACACTCAATAAACAGATTTACATACTTTTTACTCAAAATAACCTGCGGTTTAGGTTACCATCTTATCTAAAATGTTAATTAAGACATAAAACAACACACAATGGTTTTTACATATGATTTCTATAACAGGAAACTGGTAAATTTAAATTAATTTTCCAAGTCAATTTCATTTGTAGAATTCTTTATCAATACCAGTCCCACTTATTTTTATTATCCATTTTGAATTTTAAAAATATTTTATTGATAGCTATCCCAAGTATACTGATTTGATCTTTACAAATTATAGGAATATATTATTACACATATTCTAAAACTATGTATATCTATTCTGCATCAATAAAAATATATTTTATAATATTTTGACAAATATACATGACATTTAACTTTGGAAAATCTATACTATTATTATTCAAGTAGGTCAATCTTTGTTAAATCTACTATAAAAGTAGATCCTTAACTCGACCTGCTGGGATATATTTTCATTTTACACATTTATTATATAGAGGCAATGATATTTAATGTCCGAAAAAAGTAATTTATTAATTGATTCTTAATTGGTGTGAATGAATGAACACATCTTCCACGGTGTGTGTCAGAAATGGTGGCATACACTTCAGTTGTAAGGCCTTGGGCTTTGTAATCAGAAAAGTCTGGCTCTAGTTCCAGCTCTATTATTTATTGGTTGTGCAGACTCTGAGTAAGTAACTCATATCTTATAGCCTTAGTTCTCTCATTCATTAAATGTGAAGAGCAATACTAGCTATTTCATACAGCATGAATACAAAGTGCTTAGTGCCAGATCTGGAACATATAAGTGCTCAATAAATGTTAGCTATTAGATAACAGATGGAATTTCCATTTCAAAACCATGAAAATGTTCTATTATTCAGCACTCTGGAACAATATAGAAAGTGTCATTATTTATATTTTATAGATGACAAAGTGAGTGGATCAGCAGACTTATTAACTCAGGTGCATACAGTTAAAGAGAAGCAGAAGGGCACCTGGCTGTTCAGACAACTCTGGTAATCTAAGGTCTGATGCTGCCATTCTTTCTAAGAGTGGAATTTTCTTCCACTTTTTTAAAAAAGTAAAGAAGAAATAGTGCTCTGTGATAAAAGCCACAAAAAAGGCAAGGATGGTATCTTAGTTCATTTCACCTGTTATTACAAAATACCATACACTGGGTAGCTTATAAACAACAGATATTTATTTCTCACAGTTCTGGAGCCTGCAAAGTCCAAGATCAAGGCCCCAGACAATTCATTTTCTGGTAAGGGCCTGCTTCCTCACGGACAGCCTTCTCACTGTAACCTCACATGGTAGAAGGGGCAAGGGAACTTTCTGGGGTCTCTTTTATAAGGGCGTTAATCTCATTCGTGAGGGTTTTGCCCTGATGACCTGATCACTTCCCAAAGTCCTTACTTCCTAATATAAAGGTTAGGATTTCAATACATGAATTTTAAGGAGACACAGTCCATCGCAGATGACTACAGGAGAGATCAGCATATTGTAGTTTTCCTTCAGTGTAGCAAAAAAAAAGTCTCTTAACCTTAACTTTCTTCTCTATAAAAAGGGATTTCATTAAATGGGAGCTCATTTGGTGAAGCCAATCACACAGAGTGATTGATCACATAACGTTTAAGTTTGAAATAATTTTCTTAACTCAGTTTAAAATGGAAGTATTTTACCTTTACTCCACTTTCTCCTCTTATTCCTTAGAAGCATCATACTCTTTTTTTTTTTCCCTTCCACTTTTTACTGACCAAACTTACTAAGAAAATTTATGGAGCTCATAAAATTTTAAACTAAGTTGGAAGGAAACTGAGAGGATATTTAGTCCAACCCTTTCGTTTTAAGGTGAAGAATGAAGCTAAGAAGGGAAATGACTAAAATAAAATAAAAGCCAAAGTGGGCCTAGACCCAATTGTCTTTTATCCCATGAGGTGTCCCACTACCAGGGTATCAAATACATAGGCCAGGCGGTCACCAGAGCATCCACACCAGACATCAGCCATCACACCACCATTTCCTTCTGAGTCTTAACACCCTGGAGTCCCAATGTTGCGCTCAAGCTAGCTGTTGCCAGCGAAAGTGGCCACGTCTCTTTAATAATTTAGTAAATGTGAACCTAAAATTCCCCGCTTAAAATGTTAACACCATTTTTTTCCCCTTCCCTATGTATTTTGAGTTTAAGAAATAATTAAACCTTTCACGGCAGTAATGACCTTTTAGGGAAATTTGAATTCCGCACATTCAAAATGTCGTTGGAGGCCGGGTGCGGTGGCTCACACCTGTAATCTTAGCACTCTGGGAGGCTGAGGTGGGAGGATTGGTTTAGCTCAGGAGTTCGAGACCAGCCTCAGCGAGAGCCAGACGCTGTCTCTACTAAAAATAGAAAAAATTAGCTGGGCGTGGTGGTGCTCGCCTGTAGTCCCTGCTACTCAGGAGGCTGAGGCAGGAGGATCACCTGAGACCAGGAGTTTGAGGTTGCTGTGAGCTAGGCTGATGCCATGGCACTCTAGCCCGGGCAACAGAGAGTGAGTCTCTGTCTCCAAAAAAAAAAAAAAAAAAAATCGTTGGACACTGTGAAGTAAACTTATTTTGTTAAAAATTTTAAAAGAAATATAAGCAAAATTAATCTATGGTGATAGAAATCAGAACAGTGATTGCTTGGGGCAGGGGCTCACTGGGAAGGAGCAGGAGAAAACTTTGTAGGCTAATGGAAATGTTCTATATCTTGATGTGGATGTGGTCCAACGTACACTAAAGATCTGTGCATTTCACTTTATGTAAATTATATATTTTAAAATCAATCCCAACTACTCACATAGGAATTATTTTAAAGTCCTCATCCAAAAGAAGGACTTGAACTGCAACCCAGCTGATGAAAGGCAATGAACAAACTGATAGATATCTTTTAAAATCACTGTCGCTAAATGCATTTTTGTTCAACTATTCATGAGAATAACATACACTATGCCGGAACTCATGTATTTGGAAAGCAAGTAGAGTTTCCTTTCAGGCTATGCCAATTAATGAATTCTGCTTTCAATAGGAATGAGACTATTATTTAAGAACTGTGTACACTATTGTGATAACATATCCACTGATCTCTATTGTCCACTTGAAATTTAATAATAAAACTTTGTCCTAAAGACCACAAGAAAACTTAAGACTTTTATAGATAAGGAAGGTATGGTTGAACACAGAGTATACTAATTAAGTTTTTATTTTTCTATTTTCTATACTACCTTACTATAAAAACCTGAGTATAGATGGGCACTTGGGTTGTTTCCACATCTTTGTAATTGTGAATTGTGCTCCCATAAATATTTGAATGCAGACGTCTTTATTATAGAATGTTTCTTTTTCCTTTGGGAAAATACCCAGTAGTGGGATTGCTGGATCAAATGGATCAAATTCTACTTTTATTTCTTTGAGGTATCTCCATATTATTTTGCATAGAGGTTGTACTAATTTGTAGTCCTACCAGTGACCCCAGCAGTACAAAGTCAACATATGTAACCAAAGAGTTTGTACCCCTGTAATATTCTGAAATTTAAAAAAAAACAAACCTGAGTATATATGACATTCTGCCCACTGCATACCATATTTGGTAGCAGAGTCTTGACAAAAGCAAAAAAGACTATTGAACAGGAGTAAAGAATTGGCTTTTCTTAGCTGATAAACACGTCGGTTAGGTGCATAAATTGGTTAAAGATACTGCTCTGTTAGTGGTTATTATCATAAGGAGAACAGGGAAAATTTAGAGTTCAAATTATAGTTAGAAAAGGAAGGCAAATTTCTCACCTTTTTCAGCAAAGTGACTTTATAAATGATAAATTTTAGCATATGTTAATATGTTAATAAGGGTCTCGTATGCTAGCCAGCACTCTGATAAATGATAGCTGTTTACGAAAACAAAATATCCTGTTACTAACAAAAGATCCATAGTAGAGTTATGAGTACTTTCCCTGTCCCTAGTGATGGTTTTACGTACCAGATCTGGCTTCACACGGAGAATCAGGGGAAAGGAGAGCCACATGGCACGCAAGGTGGTGAGCACCGTGGAGAGCCAGGACTGCTGAACCTCACGGCTTCTTGGAATTCGGTGAATGTAGTATTTGGTAGACTAAAAGGAAATGGAATCCAAATTAAATGGGTCGCTAATACCAAGATTAAACATAGTAACAGTTAACATTTGCAGAAATAGGAAGTGCTTTTTTGTTCATTTTTCATCTTCATTCTAACCACTTTTAAATTAGAATTGTAAAGCCTATTTCATGCTTTGTATAACACGCGCATCACTGGCTTGTAACAGAAAAATTCCTAAATATGATTCAAAAAACTGTTAAAGTCAGTATAGATAATAAATTGGGGGAAATTTTCTATAAAATATCTTTTAGGCTAAGATCTTAACATGTTAATATGCAAATAGTTCTTACAAATTGATATGTAAGACATAACTAGTAACAAGATGTGCAAAGAAGATGGATGGATAATTCCAAACAGAAGAAATACAAATAACTAATAAACAAATGAAAAGATGGCTAACAATTAAGCACAAAAGAAAACAATCATTTTTCACCTACATGATTGGTAATGATTGTTGATACCCATTATTATCCAGATTATAAGGAAATAAAAATTCACATTCCGTGCGCAAATACATTGGTACAACTTTTTGGAAGGGCAACCTGGAAACATCTATCAACATTTTAAATGTGTCTACCTTTGATCTAGTATTTCTGCTTCCGGAAATATATCTTACAGATTTACCCACATCACTGTGGTAAATGATAAACACTGTATCATTGTTTCTGTCTGTGGAAATCAGAAACAGACCAAATATTCCCCAACAGGGAATGGAGAAGTCCATATAATAAGATATATGGAGAAATGTTAAAAATGACATAGAAAGATATCCCAAGATATCAAATCTATGCAATTGTAGGATGGTATGTTTAGTACAATCTAATGTCCATTAAGAAAACATATACACAGTTGTTTGCAATCCAATGCCTATTAAAAAAACACACATATACACATGTTTGTACATGCATATATACATATATTAGTATTTGCAAGCAGAAAATCTGGAACTTTGTGCCACAAATCGTAAGAAGGATGATACTATAGGATATTCTCATTTCCCAGGCCATAATATACCCATGTTTCAAATTTGTAACAAGAATGTATTAGATTGTTATTTCCTTGCTTATTTTTTGAGATCTTTGTAGATCCTGGATATTAGCCCTTTATCAGATGTATAGTTTGCAAATACTATCTCACATTCTGTCGGTTGTCTGTTTACTCTATTGATTATTTACTTTGCTGTGCAGAAGCTTTTGAACTTAATCAAGTGCCATTTATTTGTTTTTGTTTCTACAGTATTTGCCTTTGGACTGTTAGTCCCTGAAGATCAGGGATGGAGCCTATGGTCAGAGCTCCTGGCCCAGCAGAGGCAGTGAAGCCTCACCGCCTGACAGGAGCACTGAAGCCTCGGTGGTGGAGCTGAGGGCTCAGCAGCAGCGGTAAAGCCCTGGGAGTAGAGCCTTGGCAGCCAGGCTAGAGCTAAAGCCTAGATCTTTCTCTGTGAAATTGACCATTTACAAGGGCCTTCATGGGTTCTCTCTCCAGACAACAGGACCATGAGAGAGGAGAGTCCTGAGGCTTTGAGGTATGTCCCCAAAGGGCAAGAGAGCCTGCTAGTTAGAGCAAGCAGAGTATTCCATTATGCATTTAAAACTGCTTAAAAAATTCTCTGCCCTACTGTTCTGTATTATACTTGCTGTACAGCCATGTGGTCAAGTAGACAGGAATCTGGGGCCATGGTGATAGGGACAGGGCCCTCAGATTAGCTATGCTTGACACCAAAAGTTGGGTGCTGGGTAATTTGATGTTATATCACCTAAAGGAAACAGGCCATGGCAAAATATTAAGAGAGTTTTTATTATTTTACATAGTTTAAGAAAATAATCAAATATATAAAGAAGTCAATGAGGAAAAATTATCAACAGAAGGCTTGTATTTTGGCCTTAACAAAAATTCCTTTGAAGACAAAGGAACAGGGCAGAAGTTCAGAGAGCTACAATTCAGGCCTACGACCTTTGACCTGGAATTCCTTGGAGGTTGTGGCATCTGGAAAAATCCAAATGAAGGCATCCTCATAGACATGTTGCTTTTGTTAGTTGGCACCTTTGCCTTGGGGGCACTGTTCCTGGCCCAGGTTTATGCCCTGTAATGGGACACAGGACATAAAAGATGCCCTGTCTACCATTTTATACCACCTACCCCCACTCCCAGACCCAACATTTGGTTCACGAGTGGACACATGACCCAAGCAAGGTCAATCTCTTCTTGGGATTCTTACAGACCCTGAGGGGAAAGTAGTTCTGCCATTGAGGCACACTGTCAGCTGCTCATCTAACACTCAATCCATTCTACTGGGGCTGAGAAATATAGACACCAGGTCCTGGAATAACATCATCGCATTCAATGTTGTGTCATTATAACATTGACAAGAAAAAAAAATCAATTTCTAGTGGAGCCCACTGCCTATGTGGAGTTTGCACGATCTCCCCGGGTCTGTGTGGGTTTTCTCTGGGTACTCTGGTTTCCTCCTGCATCTCAAAGCTGTGCACGTTAGGTGAATCAGCATGTCTATGTGGTCTCAGCGTGGGTGAGTGTGGGTGTGGGTTTGAGTGTGCCCTGTGATGGGATGATGTCTTTGCCAGGGCTGGTGCCCACCTTGTACCCTGAGTTGCTGGGTTAGGCTCCAACCACCTGTGACCCTGAGCTGGAATAAGTGAGTAAATCATTCTTGTATTTGTTTTTTATTAATCTTTCTTAAATGTATGTGTAGCTCACATTTCAATGTTTAATATTAGAAGTGTTTTGGTCTTTATTTAGAAGTTTGGTGATATTTCTGTGACCAGAAATATGCCATAGGAAATTAACTCTTGTTTATATCAATTAGCTTATGGTAAAATTAGTTTTGTTACACATAGTTTCAATCAAAGTTGCAGTTTCCAAGAGCCTAAGGATGAAGTTAAGTGAGAACTTAGTGTACTTTTTTTTTTGTTGTTTCTTTATGCACTAGTTTTTTCTACAATAAGTCAGAACTGAACTATCATATTTGCCACCAAAACAGGCAACTTCTTCTGTATTCCCAAGCCAGAAATCAAAAATGAATAGTAGGACCTACCATAGATTTCCTGCTAGATATGAAGATATATGTTGGGTTTGGTTGTCAGGGACAGCGAGGGAGGAGGCTGCCTCCACGTTTCCTTCTAAAACCTCTACACACATCCCACAGCTATCCACTTATGCCACATGTCCCTGCTACTCCCATGGTTCAAGCCAGCACCATCTCTCACCTTGACTGCTGCAACAGCCTCTTAACTAGTCTCTTTGCATCTCCCCTTGCTCCCCTACTACTCATTCTCTACAGAATCAGCAGACCCATCTTTTTATAATGTAAGGCAGATGCATGCTTTCGTTCTCTTGCTTAAAATCCTCCAACAGCTTTCCACCTCACTTGTGATAAAGTCCAAATTTCTTACAATTGCTCTCCAGGTCCCACGTAATCTGGTGCTGGTTTATCTCTCTAGTTCCTCCTTGCTCACCACTGGAGCCACGCTGGTCTTCTGTCTGTTCTTTGAATGTGTCAAACTTATTCCTTTCTGAGGGCCTTTTCTGTTTATTCTCACCAGTCTGCTTTGCCCACAGGTAGCTCCTTCCTGCAAATCAGGTCTTGTTTGAACATTATCTCCTCATGAGAAGAGACAATTCTCCCCCCAATACATGGTCACTCTCTACCACACTGTCTTATTTTACTGTCTTCATAGCAATCATAACTACCTAAAAGTAACTTGTTCATTTATGTGTGTGACTGTTGCCTGCCTCTCCCCCTGGAATGCAAACTCTATGCGAGGAAAGAATTTTATCTTGTTCACTGCTATTAATCCCAGTGCCTCGTGTTTTGTACATCATGAGTACTCAGTAATAACTTGCTAAACAGATAAATGACAATCACTATAGTTTCGAGAAGTCCAGTCTATGGTCTATGCTGTGGGATGGTGATGGGGAAGCTGCTGGCTCTTAATCTCATGACATCTCAGGGCTATAAGAGACCAACTAATTCAACTTCCTCACTTCACAGATGAAGAATCTGGACTTTCCCAAGGTGACAGTGCCAGGACCTGAACCCAGGTCTTCCACATGTCCTGAAATACACTGCTGACTCAACCTTCTACACATCTGTGTCTCACTGCTGAGGAGCCAGCCTTCCCCAATATATAAGGAGCTGGGCCGGGCGTGGTGGCTCACACCTGTAATCCTAGCACTCTGGGAGGCTGAGGCGGGCGGATTGCTTGAGGTCAGGAGTTCAAAACCAGCCTAAGCAAGAGTGAGACCCTGTCTCTACTATAAATAGAAAGAAATTAATTGGCCAACTAATATATATAGAAAAAATTAGCTGGGCATGGTGGCGCATGCCTGTAGTCCCAGCTACTCGGGAGGCTGAGGCAGCAGGACTGCTTGAGCCCAGGAGTTTGAGGTTGCTGTGAGCTAGGCTGACACCACGGCACTCACTCTAGCCTGGGCAACAAAGCGAGACTCTGTCTCAAAAAAAAAAAAAAAAATATATATATATATATATACATATATAAAGCGGAACCAGCTTCCTATGAAGTATACTTCCTGGCTCCTGTTGCTCCTGTGTATAGCCAACTACCCATCCTGACCCATTTCCTTTTCCTTCCTTATTTTTCAACTCACCTGCTCTCAAACCTATAGAGCTTATTGTCTCTTCTCCTGCCTTATGGGAACTGAGCTCTGTGTCTCATCCTCTCTCTCTGTCCTTTTGCCCTGTTCTCCTCTGTAGATTGGCTTACCAATCCCACCTACCACTGTTACCAGGGATTCCTTCACCTATTCCCCAAGCCTTTAGGGGGAAAAAACAGGAATAAGAACATAGGACCCCAGAAACCTTCAGAATTTTCTGTTGAATCTTAGGCTTCAAGTTTTTTTCTGGCAAGTTCTGCTGTTTTGCTATTGCTCCTACCTGGCAGCCAACTGGGTTACATGTTCCTAAAAAGGATATTTGAGTTCCTTCCTTCTATGCAGTTC